CTTGCGGAGGCTCGTGAAGGTATCCTCCAGATCCTGGATCAAGGTCTTCGCCTCCCGAGACGTCACCACAATGTTGTCGACGTAAGCCTCGGTGTTTTTCCCGAGCTGCCAGCCTAAGGCGATGTGCATCAGCCCCTGGAAGGTTGCACCCGCGCTGCGCAACCCGAACAGCATGCAGGTGTAGCACTACACCCTGCATGGGGTCAGGAAGGCTGTCTTTTCGATGTCTTCTACCGCCATATTGATTTGGTGGTAACCCGAAAACGCATCCAAGAAACACAACAGGTCGCACTCGGCGGTGGAGTCGACAATTTGGTCGATGCGAGGGAGCGGGAACGGATCTTGAGGGCAGGCCTTGTTGAGGTTGGTGAAGTCGACGCACATGCGCTCCTTTCCTCCCTTTTTTGGCACAACAACAGGGTTTGCCAACCATTCGGGGTAGCGAACTTCGCGAATAACACCCGCTGCCTCTAGCTTACGGGTTTCTTGAACGATGAAGGCCTACTTCTCGGTGAACTGCCGCCTTGCTTTCTGCTTCACGGGGCGTACATTGGGGCACACATTCAGGTGATGCTCAATCACCTCCCTTGGGACCCCCGCTAGCTGCTTGGGTTCCCACGCAAACACATCCTTGTTCAAGCACAGGAACTTCACCAGCGCCTCCTCTTGGTCGAGGTCGAGGTTGGCGCCTATGGTGAAGGTGGCGCCTGAGGACCCGTCCTCCTCAACTGGCACCTGCTTGGTCTCCGCCTTGTCCTGGGCGAACAGCTGTTTCTTCTTGGTCGGTGCAGCCCCCTTGGCCTTGGAGGTGTCCGCGCCGGCAGGCTGCGCTGCTGCGGCTGTATTGAGGGCGAGCTTGAGCGCCAGCAGAGCATCCTTGGTGTCTCCAGTTACAGTGAGGACGCCGCTGCTCCCAGGCATCTTCATGAGGTTGTAGGTCGGATGGGTCGCTGCCATGAACTGAGCCAAGGCGCGGTATCCGAGGATGGCATTGTACGGGAGGCCGATGTGGGTGATGTCGAAGTTGATCAGCACCGTGCGGAAGTTGTCATGGGTGCCGAAGGTCACAGGGAGGCGGATCTGCCCCAGGGAGCTGGAGGAACCGCCTCCGACGCCCGAGAAGGGCTTGCTGGGTTGGAGCCGCTCCAGCGGCACATGGAGGAGGCTGAAGGCCTCCACCGAGAGCACGTTGAGGCCGGCGCCACCGTTGATGAGGGTTTTAGTGATGGCCACCTGCGGATGGTAGGCGTGTAGAGCATCGGGAGCGCGCCCGAGCAGGCGGTGTTGACGGGGTGATCGTCCGAGTTGAAGGTCAGGTCGGCCTTGGGTGCCGTCCAACCCGGGGGAGCTCCTTGTCGTGCGAGGGCGGCGCCGATCTGACGAAAGAATGGCTTGGCGTGGCGGTCTGAGGGTGGCACCTGCGAGCCGCCAAGGAGAGCTGCGACAACCGGGGGCGCTGGCGCCGCGTAGTGGGTGAGGAAGAGGTTGCGCAGCTCCCCCCAGGAGGCCATAGAAGATGCTGGCAGGTTGAGCAGCCAAACACGCGGGACGCCGGTGAGGGCCATGGGAAACCAGTTGGCCATGACCTTGTCGTCGCCTCCGGCCTTGAGGACGGCCTCCTCGTATGCTAGCAGGAAAGCCAGTGGATCTGCCGCGCCGTCGTAGTGTGGCGACATCTCTGGCTTGAACTTGTGCGGCCACTGCACCTGCCGCAAGGCGGGGGCCAAGGCTCGGAGCCCCCTGGCCCCAACGCTGGCATCGGTCGCTGGAGCCTGAGGCGCGTTGTCTGCCATGAGGGTGAAGCGCGGTGTTGGTGGAGAGCGAGTCGATGGAAGGAAGAGCTCCGGCGCACCCCTACGTGGCGCGCCAAATGTCGGATATCGGGTTCCGGCAAAACTCTTAAGGTTCGAACTCTGGGGTGCGCACGAAGATATTCTCCCTACCGAAACACGTCCACAACCTCGCCGCAATTTCTAAGCTAGCACGATGAACAACTCAAGAGACACAAGGTTTATACTGGTTCGGGCCACCGTTGTGGTGTAATACCCTAATCCAGTGTGTGGTGTGGTGGATTGCCTCTTGGGCCGATGATGAACAGTACAGAGGAAAAACAGCCTCGCGAGGAGAGGTGTTCTTGTGGTGGTGTGCCTGAGGAGGAATCAATCCGTCTCCGTTGGCTCTAGATCAGCTGCCTTCTACTGTGGTGGCTAGCCCTATTTATAGAGGCCCTGGTCCTCTTCCCAAATATTGAGCGGGAAGGGATCCGACATCGGCCATTTTGAAAGGGGACAACTAGTACAAGCTATCCTGACTAAAGGTGGTCTTCACCTGCCAAAGGCGCTGGTGGTGACGCCATCTTGGGCTCCATGGTGACCTCCGTCCTGCTGTCCTGCCGGTCTCGGTCTTGTTGCACCGATAGGGAAACGTTTGTCTGATGCCTCGGTACTCCGTGCCTGCACTTTCCCCAAGGAAACGAGGACACTGCACAGGCTGGCGCCCGCCTGGTCTTAATCGTCTTGGCTTGCGTCACGGGCACCTCGCGAGGTACCCCCCGCCTTGATCTCTCTGCCTCCTCGCGAGCCTGCCTGGTGAGGCCGCCCCTGAGGAGGCCTTGCGTCGTCCGCCCCGCGAGGCTTGGCCCCTCGCGAGGGTCTTGAGTGTTTGTTGATGAAGATAGGCCGTACTGGGCCACTGGTTGAGCCACGCTGCAGGCCGCAGGCAGGCAAGTCTGGGGACCCCCGTTCCCAGAACGCCGACAACCAAAACTTGTTCAAAGGAGAGGAGAAGAGGACCAAGAAGGGGAAGATCAAGAAAGGAAGGACATTAACCTTGCCTCATTGCTATGAAGTATTGAAGGATGATGAGAAATGGAAGAAGCGTGAGGATATTGATGATTTGGATTTGAGCAAAAAACACAAGCGAACAATTGAGTTGGAAGATGATGATGAGGATGATGCATCAAGTGAAGATGGCAAGAGAAGCCCCACACCAAACTCGGTTTCATACTCGAAGCCAAAATGACCGGATGGCACGAAGAAAGACAAAGAAAAGAAGAAGAGGAAAGGAGATAGATGATGAGATAAAAAATGCTATGGAAGCAATTGTCAACGCAAGAAGAGAAGCCAATGAGGTGAGGAAAATGGCAAGAAACCAAGATGCCGCGGTCGAGGAGAAGAGGTTGGCAGCCGACGAGAGGAGGGTGGCCGCTGAGGAGAGGAAAGTGACATGGGAGGAGAGGAAGATGGCCATGGAGGAGCGAGCTAAGTTGTTGGAATGAGAGAAGCATTTGTTTTTCTTGGACACATCTTTGTTCAATGATGCGCAAAAGGAGTATGTCAACCTTGCCCGTGAAGAAGTCTTGATCCAAAAAAGAGCCATGATTGGCGGCATGGGTGGCGGTGGCGGCCTTGGCGGCATGGGTGGCGGTGGCGGCATGGGTGGTGGTGGCCTTGGCGG